TTAGAGAAGAGTCAATTCTATTTAGATTACTTGCTTTCTAATTCGTGTGGGCAAAAAGTAAGACTTGCAACAGCCAATGGCGCGACCATCAGCGAGAATATCACATTAGGGTTGACGGACTTCTATAAAAAGTAATAATAAGAAATAGAGGCCGGGGACCAGAACTTGAAAACAGAATATGAAATAATAAAAGAGGGAAAGAAACAACGTAACGGATCTAAAGTCAAGTGAACAAGCAAGCAACACTAAATGTACAGAAACACGTAGTGGTCATGTAACATGCTTAGTTTTGTTGAAGAGGTGGATGAAAAGTACGGTAAACAAATTACTCGATCCTCGTTTTGCCCTCCTCGAGGTACACCAGCCGAGCATTGCTGTACCCTCTCTGGTGCCTCCTCGCAGGGAGTAGTTGGCCGACTATAGGATCAGACCGAGCCTTTATGAGCGCATCTTGATACCCCTCAGAGCCAGCTGTAGGTGTGTTCAATTTCGGCCAGTTTACCTGTTTCGTGGGGTCAGTATGTGGGCATAACAAGGAGGAAAACAAGTCTTACATAGAGCATTCCGTGAGCAAGGATAAAACGTGCACACCAGGCGCTGACGATGAACCAGAAAAGAACAAATAAGCGCAGAGGCCACACGGTGGAGTCGGGCAAGCGTCTCGTGAAGGCAGCTACCGTGATCAAGAAGACTCCAGCTGCAAAGATATACGGAACAGACTGGATGATGAGTGGTCGACGATCCAAGAAGAGCTGAATGTTCCCAAGGGTGGAGTTCGGGGGAAGATAGGTGCCCAGGAAGACATCGAACCCATCTTGTCGAGGACCGTCCATGAAGTTGTTCCGTACATATCGTGTGATGGAGTTGTTCAAGTCTTGCAGCATACCAGCGCGAGTGCGCTCGCCAGTCCGGGTGAAATCGGTCTTCAACGCTCCAGTACCGGAATAGGCCTTAGACACAACATCAGCATTGTCTGCCCAGATGTTACGGAATAGGTTTTCAAAGTCGCGGTCATCATTCGCTGCTTCTCCAGGCTGTAAAACTCCTGCGTCAACGAGCTGACGTGTTATAGCCCAACGTCCCAGCATACTCTGAACGACGTTTGTACGATCCAGACAGTCCATGCAGTTCGTCCGCACGACGCTAGACTGCGCGGAGCGTGTATCCAATTGACCACCAGGAGCACCCGGATTTTCTACTCCACGGAAATAACCGCCTCGTGTTAGACCGTCCATTAGCCGTTCCAGCAGCAACTCCGCACGATGCCACTTGAGACCCTTTGTCTCATTGTGAAAGTCGAAATATACGTAGTGGAGTCGGTCCAACTCTTTCTGTCTGAGCCCGGGCTCCACCGCGTGCACCTTCTCCGACGTTATTTCATCCGCTTCGGTGCTATCGGTAGAGGACGACACGAGGATGCGAACGAGCTGTTCGTAGGCAGTCTTCACACGCTCTTCCCTGCCTTTCTGGTTCACGAGGTTGACCAGGTAGTTCTCGCCATAAACACGGATCTGCTCAGCGAAATGCTTGCGAGCAGCATCGACGGCAGTTTCAACCCCTCGGACCTGCAGCTTCGGTGTGTACTTCAGGTTGTTGACTTCGGCCCAGTATACGGGCACACTTCCTCTGGTCTGTACGAACGCCATGACCTGAAGGTCCTGCGTTGAGCCACCCAATTTGTCCTTTGCTAGGGACTGGCCTCCAGAGAATCCAGAGAGACCTCCCGTCGCATCATTGAGTATAACAATCTGCTCAGTCTCATTGTAGTTGGACACGTGGCCTTGATCATCGATACCGCGGGAGAAATACCTTGTCCCACCGCGGTACCTAGATCTCCTGGTTATAAGAGCAAATGTGAAAGAAGTGGACTTGACTTTTGCGGGCGTGATGCGAAGCATTCCGAACATAACAGGCAGAATATACGGGTCAACTCCAGGTTGTGGTCCGTAGCGCACCCCGGTAACATCGTGTTCTCCCAGACTGAAGTCAATCAAGTCGGACTGAATGAAACGGTTCCAGAAAAATCGATCATCGGCTCGTTTCCACATAGGAAGGTTGGGGTCGGTTTGCGACTGACGTTGGAAGCTATTGGTGATATCCAGAGCGTAGGAAAAGTACATAGGTCCCGTACGAAGCAGCTCCTTCAACAGTGCCAGATAGGTGTCTTCATCATAGTCGTGCAGAGAGCGCTCACGCAGAGGCAAGAACTCGGTCGCCGCAACCTTATAGACCATGTGGCCGCGTAGACGCCCCACGGGCAGGGCCTTGGTGATAACTATAATGTATTTATCTAATCAAATTAGTATGGTGTGTACTACAGACGGACAGGAGAGTATATTGACATGGACTCACCGAGCTTCAGTTTGATAATACCCAGAATGCCTGCAATACTGGAGATGCGCTTGGCTCCGGAGAGGGTGCCGTTACTGAGCCGCAAGTCGCCGGTCGGACGCTCGACAACAAGTGTCGGGGCATTAGGGGATGAGGGTGAAGTGAAGGCATAATGAGAGGAGGCAGCGTGCAAATTGATGTCGCGAAATGGAAGAACGGAGGCAGCCATTGTTGGGCGATTACCCACTACGTGGGATGAAGAAGCTCAGAAGAAGGGAGAGATACTAAAAAAGAAGTATAGATCAGGGGAGGGTGAAAGAGTGTGTTAGAAAAATTCAGCGCATATTGCGCAAGAGGAATGGGGGGGAAAGTGAAAGGGAACGGAAGGTGAGAGACACGAATGAATAACAGGCAGAGACGTAATTTCAGGGAACCCCGGGATGATCTCCAGGGAGGCTCGGGAGCAAGAGAAACGGAGGTACCTCACAGCACCTCGTTGTGCCAGCATGTGCTGGTGGTGATAAGCAAGGCTGGCGCGGACGGAATCGGCCAGGGCCGCCACACCGCCCCGCAGAGCGGCCAGTCGGCTTGGGCCAGGTGTGGCTGAATCCCTTCGTCATCTACCACCGACAGGCCGCCATCAAACCTCCCAGCATCCCGAGTCCGCCTCCAATACTTGTTTCCTCCCTTCATCTCGATCTATCCACCTCATCCAGCTCCCCCCCCCCCCTTGTGCTTATATCGTGGGCGCTATTCTCTCTTGAATCATTCTCGTTAAAGTTGTTCTTTCGACCATATCGACTATGGCCTCCAGAGCCGCAGCAGGCGCCCGTCCCGGGGCCAGGTTCGCTCAGTTCAAGCTTGTATTGCTGGGTTGGTTTCCCCCTGTTATTGGCCCCACTATAGTATGCGTCAAAAGTACTGACATGTTGTTTTCGTTCGCCCTTTCTAGGAGAGTCCGCAGTCGGAAAGGTTGGAATTTCGTAATTTTCGGGGTTCTAAATAGCGGTCGCTGACTATCTTGCTCCACAGAGTTCGCTAGTACTGAGATTCGTCAAGGTGGGATAAGTCGTCCATATTTCCGGAAATTTTTCTACAGGGGAACGATTTTCCGGATGACTTACTGGGGCTAACACTGCATAGGATCAATTCGATGATTACCGCGAGTCGACCATTGGCGCCGCCTTCCTCACACAAACCATCTCCCTGGACGAAAGTACGACAGTCAAGTTCGAGATATGGGATACAGCCGGCCAGGAGAGATACAAGTCTCTGGCTCCCATGTATTACAGGAACGCCAACTGCGCGGTCGTTGTGTACGATATCACTCAGGCTGTATGATTCCCGGCTCGACCTCCTCCATTCCTATGGTAACTAATAAATCGTAACGTTGAGCAGTCATCGCTGGACAAGGCCAAGTCATGGGTGAAGGAATTACAGCGTCAGGCAAACGAGAATATTGTCATCGCCCTTGCAGGAAACAAGCTCGATCTCGTGACGGAGAGCCCGGACAAGAGGGCCATTCCTACGGCTGACGCCGAAGCCTATGCACGTGAAGCTGGTCTTCTGTTCTTCGAGACATCTGCAAAGACCTCCTCGAATGTTAAGGAACTATTCACAGCAATCGCAAAGAAGCTCCCTCTTGACCAGGCAGGTCCTCGAAACTTGCGCACAACTCCCCGTCCTGGTGTCGATCTGCGGCCAGAAGCACCCGGTACCCAAGGAGCCGGTTCCTGCAACTGCTAGGCTTTCCAAGTGGCGTATACTAGCTAACTGTTGTGTGTCGAGTCCTCGATCTAATCCACCTTTCTTTTCCTTTCCTCCTTTCGCATGGGCTATTGTTAGATGCAGGAGACGTGTGTCTTCTAGCTTGACTGTGAACCGGCACGCTGGGCAACAGTGTGCAACCCGTCAGCGACTTTGAACAAGACTGTTTTATGGCTTTCTAATGGTGCCGTGATTACTGCAACTTTGGCCGACCGGCGTCGTATAGGTGTCTCTTGCTTCCCAGGGGATTCAATCATCCCTACGGATTTGAGCATGATGAATTATCCAGTCATCATCAGTCTTTCTCACTGCACACTGGTCTGACAAGACGAAGATTTTCAAATACCGTCATTGGATGTGGAGGGAGAGCTTAATACTGTACTGGCACGGTTGGATTTGACTGTCTAGACATTATGCCACAGGGATGGACCTATGATTTCTTTGTTCCGCGTTGTTCTCTGTGTCTCTGCTTCCTCGTTCCTGGCGTCTGTATCCTTCTGAATGGGTTGAATTCATGTCACTTTCTTACTTTTTCTTTGTGTTCTTCCTGAGACTCTCAGTATGCTATGCCTATATAATACTTCACCTTCAGTCATCGGATCTGAACTAGTCATCTACTAATTCCAGTGGCATACACATAGTAGGTGTTTGAAGCATGGTGAACCTCGTAGACGCAAAGATCAGATAAAGTTTATGAGATAAAACAATTAGTTATTGCTACTGATACAAACCTAGTTTGTGGGCAAGATAATGTCCTGCAGCATTGGATAAGACAGCTAGCTCGGTCTATCCGGACAGCCGGCGCGGGCGGTGCGAAGTGACCCGAGCTGAGCCACTCTTTGGCGGTGCAGGATCGGAGCGGATCGTAAAAGCACCTATCCCAATTCCGGTCCGCGTTTTCACTCCCATCAACACCAACCCCTCAACTAAGCCAGCTCCCAGCGCTCATCTCCATGGTAGTGCGGCCCATGATGCTGCGCTCTTCTGTTGCACCGGGACGACAGTTGCTGCTGTCCTCCGCTCGTCAGCGGACCGCCTCCCAATGGCTGTCCAGAGCCGGAGCAAGCAGCCGGCTTTCAGGTCAGGTACGGTGACGGCATCCGCAGTCGAGTCATAAGCATCCTAACTAATCTCGTCTCAATTCTCTGCAGAGGTTCTTCGCCGATATTAAGCCCCCTACCACCGCTGCTCCTACGCCCGCTACTCCGTCTTCCGAGTCTGCTGTTCCCCCAGAGACCGTCCCTAAGCCATCACCCACCGGACAAGGTACGAATGCTCTGATCAGTTGAGTCGCAAGCTTCCCCAGTGCTGATGTACGACAGAGTCCACTCTCCCTCCCTCTACTCCTTCTACCCCAGCTCCTAAGGGTGGACGCTTCCGCAGATTCCTTCTCTACTTGCTGCTTACCTCCGGATTCGCATACGGTGGCGGCGTTTTCCTGGCTTTGAAATTCGATAACTTCCACGATTTCTTTACCGAATACATTCCCTATGGTGAGGAGAGTGTCCTTTACTTCGAAGAGCGTGACTTCTATCGTCGATTCCCCAACACTTTGAGAAACCAGAACCGCCTTAACCCGACCCCAAGGGATGAAGGAAACAAGATCACCATCCCAAGCAAGAGCGGACTTACCTCGAAGGTCGCCGAGGAGGAGACCTCGGGAGCAGATGTTTCCCAGAAGGGCCCCCATATGAGTGCCACTCCGGCTCCGAAGAGCTCCGAAGCGCAAACCAAGCCCGCCGCCGCTAAGCCCGAGGACAAGACCACAGCTGTTGTGAAGGCCAAGGAGGAGAAGGCCGCCAAGGTTGCTGAGAAGGAGGAACCCAGACAACCGGCCATTCCTGCTGTTACCCCTCTCGAGTTTGCTCAGGTCAACGAGGGAGATGAAGCGATCGTCCAGGAGCTGGTGAAGACGTTCAACGACATGATTACCGTCATCAGCGCGGATGAGAACTCCGGCAAGTACTCTCAGCCCGTGGCCAAGGCCAAGGAGGAACTCCAGAAGGTCGGAGAGAAGATCATCGCTGTTCGTGAGGAGGCCCGTCGTGCCGCTCAGGAAGAGATTCAGCAGGCCCATGCTACTTTCGATGAGTCTGCTCGCGAGCTCATCCGCCGTTTTGACGAAATGCGTGCGGCCGATGCCGCCCAGTACCGCGAGGAGTTTGAGGCTGAGCGCGAAAAGTTGGCCCATGCCTACCAGGAGAAGATCAGAACCGAATTGCAGAGGGCTCAGGAGGTGGCTGAACAGCGCCTCAAGAACGAGCTGGTTGAGCAAGCCATTGAGCTTAACCGCAAGTACCTGCACGAAGTCAAGGAGCTCGTGGAGCGAGAACGTGAAGGCCGTCTCAGCAAGTTGAACGAACTCACCGCCAACGTCAGCGAGCTGGAGAAGCTTACCTCTGGCTGGAGAGAGGTCATTGACAGCAACCTCAGGACCCAACAACTCCAGGTGGCTGTTGATGCCGTGCGCTCCGTTGTTGATCGCTCTGCCGTTCCTCGCCCCTTCGTCCGCGAGCTTGTCGCCGTGAAGGAATTGGCCGCTGAGGACCCCGTTGTTGAGGCTGCCATCTCTTCTATCAACCCTGCTGCTTACCAGCGTGGAATCCCTTCGACCTCTCAGATCATTGAGCGCTTCCGTCGTGTCGCTGATGAGGTGCGCAAGGCCAGCCTTCTGCCCGAAGATGCAGGTATCGCTAGCCACGCCGCCAGCGTTGTTCTGAGCAAGGTCATGTTCAAGAAGGATGCTGTTGCCGGTAGCGACGATGTGGAGAGCGTGCTGTACCGGACCGAGAGCCTTCTGGAAGAAGGTAACCTCGATGCTGCAGCTCGTGAGATGAACAGTCTTTCGGGATGGGCCAAGATTCTGAGCAAGGACTGGCTTGTGGATGTTCGCAGAGTGTTGGAAGTTAAGCAAGCTCTGGAGGTAAGGATCTCCCCTAAAGTTCCTGTCTGTCTAAATGATATCGAACTGACATATTCTATCTACAGGTGATCGAAACCGAGGCGCGTTTACAATGTTTGAGGGTTGAGTAGAGAAATAATTCTCCCAACATCATTTTAGCTTTCTTGTACCTCATGCCTCCTATCTACAGGACTTGTACCTCTAGTTGTCCGCCTGCGTTGTTAGAGTCAATGCTAGATATTTTCCTTTGTATATTGTATACTAGTTGGAAGCTTTAAGCGCTTTTTCTAAAAGAATCCCACTGCTGCACCATGTATGTGTGGAGTGGAGCATCTTGTCAGCTATCTGATAAAGTCGATAATCAAGTCTGGGGAATGCTTAATATTGATGGGGATTGTTTGCGCTGTTTGCAGTTCCACGTGGGCCGCAGCGCATGATGCACCTGCTGCCTACTGATGAAGTAGCGATCGTCAGACCACATCTGGACGACGAGGACGAGGGGGTGTCCAGATTGATCTTTCTAGATGGTTGTTTTTCCCTCGGGAGCCATTACTGAATTCTAGCGATTTCTCGCAAATCTCCATGTCGGCCTTTCCTCGTGGACGTTGCCCCCTTTCCTATCCCGCGGGACGGACCACTTCGTCACCATAGCTTTGATGTCGCCGAAGACCAATGAATCCTATCCACTTACACCTCCTATGCCCGAGACCGATGAGACACAGCCAGAGTACCACACACGCTACCATACATCTAATGATAACTCCGACCGACAAAGGGGTGCGCACATGAACGAGGGACGAGCGAGCGGGGAGCTAGAGGGCAGCACTCTCGGTAGCAGCTCTCGGGATGGCGATAAAGGAGGCCGGGCCCAACGCCGAACGGCCAGCTCCGGCGGCTTCCTAGTCGATTCATCTTTTCTACCCAGGTCAAAGAGCTTGCGTGCAAGCCAATACCTCCCTCGCCGCTCAGACTCCAGCCGCAAGGAGAAGCGTGAAGCACCCGAACCTGAACTGGTAGTTACGAAGAAGCGATCACGATTCCCTTGGATTCGGCATAAAGAGCAGAAGGTATCCCAAGTAGAGCAGGCGGAGCATACCAATCATACGGAGCATACGGAACCCACAACAGCGGAGGAGACTCCTGCTTCATCGAATCTGGAGCAGGATGCGGCTTCCCAGGAGTCGCATACCAAGCAGACGGACAATCAGGACACCATAGGTCTTGATAGGGATTCGCTCCAGATAGTGAATCTTGCATTGAATTTGAGCGAGTCGAGGAAAAGGAATAGCCTGGGTCGCTCTGCTTCAACTCGTCTTTCCGGGGGTAGATGGGCTCTGGCAGGTGGTCAAACATCCGCTCCATACATTGGTAGACATGCATCGGTTCCAGTAACCGACCTGGGGCATGGCGGCTCTCAACATGGCCAGAGGGTCACACAAGCACCGGGTGAAGATCATACTGGAATAGTCAACTCCAGTCAACTGGGCGGACCGTCGACTCATGCGCCATCTTCAGTGGCAAGTCTACTTCCACATTCTGCTGGTTCGGAACCCTTGCCGCAGGGCTTCTCAGAGAGCACACTTGCTCGAGCCGAGAAAGCTCGTCGCCATTTTGAGCTATTTTCGGAATATCTCCGACTACTTCCTTCCCTTCCTCCTCTGCAACCGATTGACGATCAAAATGCCGATTCAATATCTGTGCATAGCAGTGGCTTTGCATCACACCGGGTCTACAATCCTCTTCAGTGTATTCGCAATCGCAAAGTGAGATTTCGTGAGCGATGTGCAATAGACACGGAGGCAGCGGGGTGGTACGATACGGAGAAGGTACATCAGTGGGTTGATTCAGTGCAGGCTGAATACAGCCAGCAGCCGCACGGTCCCCTTGAATGCCTGCGGCTTCCATCGTTTCATAATTGTAAAGATGCTACGCCGCGTGCAGAGGTAGACGAACCTGATCATCTTGCCGTCTCTCCTCCTTCAAGTCTGAGACGTGCTAGCCGCGCTAGCAGTGTCAAAGCACGCAGGCCACGGTCAGACTGGGTCATCGACCCAGCAGAGTTCCTTTTCGATGCCGCATGGGTTGAGGAAAGGCAGAATAAGAGTAAGATTGTTGATAGAGACGGGAATTCTCTCTACCCAGATCCTTCGATCCTCATCACCCCTGATGATGATCAGACGCCCATTGAACCACCGGAGCAGCTACAGAATAATCGGCAATCGCTAGACTCGGAACACCCCACTTCTCGTACCTCCTTGTCTGATTCGCGCTCGGTTTTGGCGACAGAATTCAATAGAGTCGGGCGTGGACGGCGTCGGCACAGGTTCCACGGCTCTGGCCGTAGTGGACATGGAACCGAAGCATCAAGGAGAATGACAGGCTCTAAGAGGCATAAACTCGGCCTTTTATCAAGTAGCTCTTCGAGCATCTCTAGTGCTGAGGGACGTCTGTACCGGGAATCGCCAATGGATAATACGTTGTCCTCTGAGAGGGGTGTGTCCCCACTGCCCGGCGCCTCACGACTTCGAGCCTCTGAGGCGCTCTCAGAATATGACACCGCCATGGATACCAGACTGACGCCAACCCATGACACTTTTCCTCGTTATGTGACCGGAAGATCTCCTACTTGGGCCCGGTCAGAGGGAAAGCGAAGTTCTATATCCTCTATTCCAAGTGTTGATGACCGCTACGACCCCTTGACAACCTTATCAACTGCAGAAAGCAGGTCTCCCGAGCTCCATGCGCAGGTCGGCATGTTTCCAAGTATCGCATCCAACCTATCCCCACCGGCAAGCCGTTCGCCGTCGCCTACAAAAGGCCGCTTCTCACGTGCTATTGGTGCTCGACATGAGCGGAGTAAGAGCAACATTCGGGCAAAGGATATTGCAGATGATAGCTCCCTGGAGTCGGCCCCTTTGCGCAAGGATACTTCAACTGGGCATCCCGAGGGTATTCCCCAAGGTGGAAGGCTGGAACCAAGCCCGCTTCCCGATCGAATCTCTTCAGTATTTCAGGAAGACCCATCAAAGTTCAACTCACAAAACCGCAAAGACGCAGTACAGGGCGAATCCAAGCTGCGTGGAATATTCAAAGGTCCTGGGAAGATCGCAGAGAAAGTGGGCAACGAAATGTCAAAAGTAGGGGATCTAATACTTAAAAAGGATACCGTTGCCCAGTCACGGAGATCTTCCGTTTCAAGCACGGATAGTTCTGTTTCCGATCCTCCTGATGACCCCGAAGAAGCTAGAGGTGATAGAATGTCTGGCGCCAAGTCTCTTTTGCGCCGGTTTCCTACGTTCTCCGACGATGCCAATCGAACTTCACGCAGGAACCTTGAGAAGATCAGTTCGAAGACCAATGTGCCTTCTATGTCTCCCTTTGTCTTCACGCCTCGGCATGATCGATTAGAAGAACATCAACCGCCTGTCTACGGCAGTTCTTCGAAGGCCGGTGCTGACATCGACACGACGGACTCACAGAGAGAAGTGGGTGGGTTTTCTACATCTCTCCATACGCCAGCAACCCGTCATGAGAAACTACGATTTGGCCCTGATATTCATACTGTGCCAGAACAATTCAGAAAGCGTAACATCAGGGATGTCGGTGTTCCCTTCAGTTTGACAAGGGCTCCTGTCACGGGTCTTGCTCAAGCGAGAGCAGACACTACTTCATCGTCCCAGGGAAAACGCCCAAGACTGGCAACTGAGTCAAGAAGCTGGAGTATCTCTAACCGCAGCTTATCTAGCTCGCTTGTTGTTGGTGTTCCGGGGAAGCGCGAGATTGAGCGCACCCGAGCCCTTCTTCTTTCTTCGGGAATCAAAGCTCGAGAGATCACCCGCCGAGCAGAATGTGTGCGGCAGCCACCACCAGACTTCCTTCGGCGCACATTTGGTACGGAAGCATCCGTACCTCAAGTAAGTCGGCTTTATGAGTACGATGTAGCCGCACAGGGCCTGCTCAGAAGCTTCGAGAAAACACATCGCTCGTTCCAACAATCCATAGACAATTTCTCTGGCTCGGTCTCATCTCCTTTAAGATCGCAACTGAACAAACTCGAGGACATGGTCAATGAGACGATTTCCCCGCGTGTTCAGGCAGTCACACAGGATGCGGAGGACTTGAGCATTCAGCTCAACACCACTAGTACGCTTGCTGTTAAACAGCTGAGCGATACACTCGACAAAGGGGTCAGGAGGCGTCATCGCCGGCTGCGCTGGGTACGGCGCACTGGGTTTGTGATGCTCGAATGGGCATTAGTTGGTATGCTCTGGTGGGTTTGGCTAATTGTGATGGCTTTCAAGATCTTGCGAGGCGTTTTTCGGGGTGTTCTTTCAGGTGTCAGATGGGTCTTGTGGTTGTGAATGCGACAAACTGAGAAGAATGGCTGTTGTTTCCTCGTTATTATACCCCCATCAGATTCTACATGTTCCTAGCGTTTGTTCCCTTTTCTACATCACGGATATCCTTTTCACAATTCTTGTATTATATAGCCTTTTTATGATTGATAATTACTTTAATTTGGTCTTCATGAAACCTGTGGCGAAGATAGCCAATTGTCCATGGTATTGCCGTAAACACCGTCATTGTATCCCCTCTAGCATAGTATGGCCAGAACGGTCCTTTCATGTCCTGGAAGGACAATAGTTGCTGGGAATAAAGGAATTTGTATCTCACAGCAGAGGATTGCCGATATACATGGTAGTGTTTCCAGATTGCGGATCAGGTGACGCTGTCTAACTGAAACTCACTTCCTTTCATTGATAAGTGGGAGTTCTTCACCAGTCCACGATCATCGTCGTGACGACGATAGAATATCATACACTCGTATATAACATTCTCGCCCGGCCACTGTTCCTCGAATTCTTTTTCCTGCTCGGTCCAAGCATGCCGTCCCCATGCAGCAGACCCCGGTTCAAACCAAAGAAGAAGCCGCAACAAACTGAAACATTGACCGTAAGCCTACTCTTTGTTTTGACATAAGGAGAACTCCAAATGAACCTCAGCTCATATTCAATATCTCTGGCTTCACAACATATAAACAGTTGGAAACCTTCCAGCCCCCACCTCGTGTTAGCATCTTACAACCCATGAAAATATTGGCACATGTTTCAAATCCCACCGTCAAGAATAATCACATTTCTCCCTCTATACTCCTCTCCCCCACTCTCCTACTATACTCTCCGTCGACTACCTACCTATCTCCTACATCCTTCCCAACCAACTAAACAACTATACTAACAATAATCATAACCACAACCATCTTTAACTAGCCCCCTACGGAAATGTCCCTACCGTCACAACGCAAATTCAACTTGAATGCCAACAAGGCAAATCCCGCGGTGAGTGGAGGGCTTAGGCGTTCAAATGCACAGCACCACAAACACCAAGATCTGGTCCCCCTGATGTTCGACCCTACACAGGCACTGACATTTGACCAGTCGTCCAACAGCTGGAAGAGACAGGAGTTCAAGCAGGATCCTCTGAACGAGCTTACTATCCGTCCTGGTGCGGAACAATCTCGAAACAAAGACAAGGGCAAGCGTCCAGCGAATATGAATGCGTGGTCGGCCAAGTGTGGTGGTGTTTGTTCGACAACGAGGACCATGTCCTCGAAGAGTAGTACTAGCCTCAACCCTGGAAGTGTTAGTAGTAGTGGTCAGTTGGCTGTTCCAACTCGTGAGCGCGGAAAGATTGAGACGGATCCGAGCAAGGTGCGGTGGCCTTTGATTGGGGTTAGGCGTTGATTGTTTGCGTGCATGTTGGGGATGAACGGCTGGTTCCGTTCGGGTTGTTTATCTGAGATTATTTGAATCATTGGGTTGGATTGACTTGCAGCGCTTCTGGTAGCTGCTGGGAATATGAATGTATGAGTACATGAGTTATGTTGTTATGTTGTCTTTTAGTGGCTTGTTGAGGTGTGGTCTTGGAATTGGTGATTGTTCATTGTTGGGCTTTTTGTGATAGTACAGTAGTGGTAATAATGACAATGGCTCCTTCTAAAGCGTTATTTTGAGGGATATCGAACCTATTGATATCTTTGTTTTCTGCTTTTTGCAGTCATCAATTCTGGCATTTAACTCAGCAGTCGGTGATATTCAGTCAACATGTCTTGGCCCATACGATGTTAGTAGTAAGTAGTAGGCAGTGCCATACCACACGATGCCGTAAGATTGCTGGTCGTATCCCATGATCCGTGCCTCAATTGAGATATATTTAGTACACTGTAGGACGAACGGATCACTAGTAGTAGTTGGTTTGCCACTCATGACTCAATCTGGTATAAGGCTACATAGCATTGTAAGACATGAATACAATACAATTCTACTTGACAAGCAGTAGCTATTATTATCATCTGGAGAATCCAGGACGTAGCATTGATCTTGATGGGTGGTGCAAATAGGATATCCATCACGTGCCACATGACTGTAGATCAGGGACTGTCACCGCCCGAGTGGAGCGATTAGAATACTGCCGACCAACGAGCCACGGCGGTCAAGCTTTCTGAGCCAATGGACAGGCGGCTAATAAGACGGGCATCAGAAAGACGGACGGCAGCGCGTCATGCCGCACTTTCCAAGAAACAGGCTTAAGTGGCGAAACCAGGAACAGTCTGTTCCGGGCCTATACTACCCATGTACGACCTGGTATAGCCGGTTCAAATTCTAGCTCGCGGGATGGACTTGCCCGGTCCTTCTTTCTTCAGAACCGAGGGACCACTAATCTGTCTTCCTTGCCAGTCGCGCGGGAAGTACGGCGTAGCACTCATCGATCTAGATAGTACGGATGACGCATCCCGAGGGGCAGGTGCTGAGATGCAGCCGTCCTCTGGTGATAAGCAGAGGCATGTGGTTCGAGAGAGAAAGTGACTCAAATTGTCTGGTACACTAGTAAACTGTCCGTAGGTCCAGGATTCAGACGACGGATCTTCAGGGACTGATCTATTGGAAAGTTGAGGGAAAATCGGGAGGGCATCAGGCCGAATCAACGATCAAGGGGATCTGCCAGGTTCCCATGGGACAGGAGACAGGCAGCAAGATTGAGACCACGTCAACCATTACTGGCGGGAAGAGAGAAAAAGTAACCATACTGTGTGAAGGGCAGAGATCCACTCCGGGGTACGTTGAAGGTGAGGGAAATAATGATGGAAGAGCGAAGTAGAGACGGAGGTAAGATACATACTATACATACTATACATGACCATACCGAGCGGTGACGGGAGAGGGGCACGGTGATTCGGGAGATGCCGTAATCTCCCCCCCCCCCCCCCCACGAGAACCACTCTCTCATTCCTCCATTCTGTCGCTGCTTTTTCTCTCTTCGACTTCGTCTGCATCGTCCCTTTGTTGCGTTCCCCCGTGCACATCGAGCCATTGCGGTAAGTCTTCATCCATTCTCTCGTTCCTTGCTGGGTGTCCTGCAGCGCTCGGCCTTCCTCGTATTATCGACTCATCGAGATCGTTCCCATCCCCCCCGGGTGTCTGCCTGACGCCGTGCCCTTTGCCCTAACCTCCGCGTCCAAGTCGTTAAAACTCTGCACGCACCTCTCACCTCCTGCCCTTCCCCCTCCCCTCCCCCCGGACCCAGAAATTAAATCTCGCAACCCCTTTCAATTCTCGTTGGAGCTGTCATACAAACTTGCTGATCAGTGGCTGGTCGCGTCAGATTTCTTCTTATTGGGAAAAAACCTTGTTTTTTTTTTTCCCTCTCCCAATCTTTCACTCAATCTTTCCACGGCGCATTTTCTAGGCCTTTGGAATCCACCAGTTCCAAAGGCTCCAAGCTCACCACGGCTCTCGTAGCCTCGCGTTTCGTTCTTCGTCACATTGTATCTCCGAGACGTCCCCGCGACACTCTTAACAACATTCCCCCTCCTGCTGGTGTCGACTCCCGTGTTTCCGTTCGGTGCTCCTCCTTTTAACCTCCTGACGCCCACGCCGCTCATCCCCTCTTTTCTTGAGCTGCCGCATAGGACTTCTCTGAAGGTTCTTCCTCTCAAGGAGGAAGGGTCTAGGAGGCTTGGTCCAGTCAACTTCGGTTGCGAATCTTTTCGCCCTCCCTAACACGCAGTCGCGTTAAAGACACTCAACTTTTTTTTATTACTTTACTTTTTTTCAAAGACCTATTCCGTGCTCCGTCGCAGCGCGCATGGTTATGGCACCGACTGCTTGTGTACCTGCTGAAGTATGCACTCCTAAATACTACCAGGAGAAACAAGACCATAATCTCAATTGGGATCATGGTCAATTCAGCAATCATGGAGGGGACGACATATCGCAATCCAGGTTGGCTGCCAAGGAACTAGTCTTGGACATCCTGAAGAAGCGCGCAGCCGAGGTCAATGTGGACAGCTGCGCGCCGGGAGAGGAGGACGCGTTTTACGTGGCAGATATGGGGGAGATCTACCGCCAGCATCTGCGCTGGAAAATGAACTTGAGCCGTGTTCGGCCTTTCTACGGTAAGGACTGGATCCTCAATTGAGGATTTTGTGACAGCGGCTAACATTGAGTCAATAGCGGTCAAGTGCAACCCGGACCCAGAGATCCTTCGCCTCATGGCTAAACTCGGAAACGGTTTTGATTGTGCGTCCAAGGCGGAGATCGACATGGCCCTCGACACCGGCATCGACCCGAGCCGCATCATCTACGCGCAGCCCTGCAAGACCAAGTCCTATCTGCGCTACGCGGCCCAGGTGGGCGTCAAGCAGATGACCTTCGACAACGCCGATGAGCTGTACAAGATCAAGGCCAACTACCCGGACGCTGAGCTTTATCTGCGCATCCTCACGGATGATTCGAACAGTTTGTGCCAATTCAGCATGAAATTCGGAGCTTCCCTGGACGTTGCTCGCCAGCTCCTCGAATTGGCGCACCAGCTCGAGCTCAAGGTTGTCGGCGTGAGCTTTCACGTCGGATCGGGCGCTGAGGATCCCAAGGCTTTCCTGAAGGCCGTGCAGGACGCGCGCCTCGTGTTCGACCAAGCCGCAGAGATTGGCCATGAACTGCACACTTTGGATGTCGGCGGAGGTTTCTCCCAGGACACGTTCGAGAAATTCGCCGGCGTTCTGAGCGAGGCGTTGGACGCCTACTTTCCGCCCAGCATCCGGGTCATTGCCGAACCGGGTCGCTACTACGTTGCCAATGCGTTCACTCTGGCAGCCAACATCATCGCTCGCCGTGAGGTGCGCGACCCGGAGGACCCGACCAACGACGCCTATATGCTGTATCTCAACGACGGGGTGTATGGAAATTTTTCCAACATCATTTTTGACCACCAGCACCCCGTGGCTCAGGTCCTGACCTGCGCATCGGCCGCGAACTCCCCTTATGCTGCGACTTCGGGGGGTGTCACGTACTCCATCTGGGGGCCGACCTGTGACGGCATTGACGTTATCTCCAAGCGCATTGAGCTGCCAGCTCTGCTGGAAGTTGGAGATTGGCTTTACTTCGAGGAGATGGGAGCCTACACCAAGTGTAGCGCGACCCGCTTCAACGGCTTTTCGGACAACCACGAGGTGATTTACATCTCCAGCGAAGCCGGGGCTTCTGCGCTCCTCGAGTACTAGATTTACTATTGTTTGATATCTTTTTTGGCTTCTGTGTTTGGTACCTATATGTTGCTCTACTTAGTAGGTCGCTCGTTGACTTGCTTTGTTAATAAATGTGTTCGTGTGCTTTTAGAGTAGATTTCGGGTCGAAATACAGTGTGCAGATTACTGAAGTGTCTATATATGGCCATCTATGCCTAGACCTCTTAATGGGTTTCCCCTATCTTCATTGCAGACAGAGTCATGTCTACCTCTAGTCTATCCTGACCTCTATCACCCCACACTGTCATCATAGATTCATGTATACATAGCCCAACCCCGCAATTCCCAGGTCATCCGATGCAGAGCCAGCTCCTGCATCATGCCCAATTCTAGGTTTGGCAGAAAGCAACAACATGTCTAAAACATACCCATCTAGACCAGCCTCTCAACCACCAACTCCGCCCCCTCACTAGTACTTCCCTCCGCGACCTGAACCAGACCACCCGCCTCCAGCCTCTTCTTCCACTTGCCCGACTCATACCGGGCCAGGATGAAGGTAATTCTAGCCGCCACCGCAGGATCGGCCGTCTCGGCCACCACATCAGACGGCGTGAACGTCCAGCGCCCAAAGGCCCAGTTCAGGATATAGTGTCTTGCTGCCGGGCCATCCACATCCACAGCCACCGATTGGCCCGCCTTCTGCTGCTCTTCCTCTTCCTCCGACGCAGCCGGCGGCGCAGCAGTCGAGGACCGCATGACGCCCTTGATCCGATACACCTCTTCCTTGTTCGCCGCGCGCAACAGCTTCTCCACCAATGCCTTGGTATCTACCACAGCCCCATCCTCCTTCGCCTTCAACGTAACCGACAGCACCTCCACCTCGGACTGATGTCCATGCTCATGCTTATGCCCCTCCCCATCTCCATGGCTATGTCCATGCCCATCCACCCCATCCACCCCCTCCTCCCCAAACAACGCCCCATCAATCCCCAACAACACATCCTTATCCACCCGTCCCTTCTCACTCTTCACCCACGGCGTCTCAACCTCCAAATCACCCACCCGGTCCAAACAAATCTCAAACTTCATCTCTCCCGCCGCTTCCCACTTATTAAACACAATCAGATCCGTATACCGCGCCTGCAGCTTCGCCGTATAACTCGTATCCTCATACCCCTCCCAATTCTCCACATCAATCACGCTAATCACTCCATCCAAACTGAATGTGCCCGGGTGTTCGCGCGCAAGCCGATTAACTTCCATTGCTAGAGTTGCAGGGAAAGCGGACCCGGATGTCTCGATGACGATGCGGTCGGGCTTCACTTCGTCGAGGAGCTGGAAGAGCGCGTCGCTGAGCTGACCGACGAGGTTGCAGCAGATGCAGCCGTTGAGGAGTTCGCGAACGCCGCTGATTGAGGAGGTGGATGCGAGCTGGGAGTCGATTGCTACATCGCCGAATTCGTTTTTGAGAAGTGCGAGGCGGTAGGTTGGGGGAAGTTGCGGGATGAGGTTTAGAAGGAGGGTCGTTTTGCCGCTGCCCAGGAAGCCGGTTAGGATTGTTATGGGGATGGGGGGCATTTTGTTTTGTGTTTTCGGTATATATGAGGGTGGTGGTAGGTAGGGTATGTCTAAGTCTAGATCTATAAATAATATGTAGGGAAAAGAAAGACGGAAAGGATCATGTGGAGGTAGTAGGACTGAATGTTGAAGTTGAAGCCGGAGTAAAGATTCGGAGGGGGGTGGAGGGGCACGCTAGGACGAATCGGGTAATATATAAGATCTGGCGTGGGGTTGTAGATGCCTCAGACATCCACGTGGGAGTCTTGTTTCTACTATCTTCATTGCAGTATGGCTAAGACCTCTTATTCGGATCTGATATACTATGACGTCGATGGCACAAACTAATGATTACATCCTTCTACTCAACAACCAACAGTTCTCCGGGGGCCTGTCTATCGCTATACACACTTTCTGGGTACTATAGAGAATGCGCCGCTTCGAAAGAATCTACGATGTGGTAGAGCCTGTTGAAGAATACCGTCAAGGGGGATACCATCCTGTGCATCTTCACGATGTGTTCCACCAAAGATACGAAGTTATTGGGAAGCTAGCATATGGCCAATACTCGACGGTATGGCTTGCGAGGGACCAACTAAAGTAAGTACTACTTTACTGCAAAACGCATATGCTGATATTGGATTAGAAATGTGTTGCTAACATCTGAACAGAAATTCACAACAAGTGGTACTGAAAATACTAAAAGCAGAAGCATCCCAAGACAACAACAGGGAGCTTTCAATCCTTCTTACCCTCTCAGATCCCAATATAGATCATCCTGGAAAGAAACAAATAGTTGAACTACTCGATCATTTCTACACCAAAGGACCGAACGGAACTCACTTGTGTCTTGTTTTCCCTACGACAATATCTGACGGGCAGCATTGACGGTCAGTGGAAGTCCGCGTAAAGTCAGCTACATACGGGCTATTTCTCGTCAGCTTTTGCTGGGACTTGACTTCCTACATCAGTCAGGCATTGTACACTGTGGTTAGTCAATGTATCAGGTGGTGTATGCAGCTTTCTAAATGGGCTTAATGCAGATCTTCAACCGGCAAATATCCTGTTTTCAGTGGCTGGGGGGTACAGACATGGAGGCGTTATTACAGCCTCCTGAGTTCAGTCCCGTTAAGTGGTCAGAAGGGTTTAAAGCAGACGATAGTGCTCCTAAGTATTTGGTGCCTAGCCAAAGGCGAAGGGGTCAGTTGAATGATGCGAATTTCTCAACACTGGAGGTTAGGATTGGGGATTTGGGAGGAGGTAAGACACGCATGTCTGTATCGAATCTTGTCTGGACGGCTTCACTGAGGCTTACACTAGCTCAATATGTTCAACACTGTGATGAAAAACCAGTGACGCCTTTGGGCTTGCGCGCACCTGAGCTGATTAGACATACCCGGGATACTTCGATTGATACTACGCTGGATATCTGGGCATTAGGATGTTTGGTATGTCGACGCCAATCCCTCTCTTGAAACATACGTTCCTTCTGAAATCAGTAAAGATATTCGAACTAGCAACGAATGAGCCGCTGTTCCCTCTGGACACGTTCGGCATCACACGAGAGGAGATAGACAATGACCACGGTATTCTTATTGAGAAACGACTCGGTTCGAACAACCAGGACGGGGACTTTGTAGATTACCTACGCGAATGATTACCCGAGAACTTTGGTGCTGAGAATGCGGAGAGCCTCGCATCGTTCCTTCTCTATATGTTGCAGATAGACCCTCGCGAACGATTATCTGCAAAAGAGCTGCTTCAGACACCCTTCATGACGGACTCGGATGATTACTGAAGGATTTTTATTACTGTGCGCACTTGCAGAATACGGTATTAGTATGAAGTTAGTTTGCTGTAAGAAAGCTTTACAACATTATATTTTTTATATTATTTCCGCCATTTCTCATTTCAATAAGGGTCTGAGGCTCTATTTCCATTATTAAGATGAAGTTAAACCACCTGCCAGGGAATATATTAAAAAAACCGATGTGTTGATCTCATCGCAGTCAAAAGTATAAAACACAGTAGCTGTATTACTTACAATCCTAGCCTACCACACAACCATACTATTATCAAGCCACAAAACAAGAAAAACGACACACATCCTTCGAAACACACTATCTTTAACTCCAACCACCCTATAAGGCTGAACCATTCCTACTGCCCCTAGATTAGTAGTACCCTCCCCGAGTCCCCCCAACCAAGGCCGCCCGCCAGCACCAACCTGCCACACCCGAAAGCCCCGAGGATCCACAAGGCTGACAACGATGATATCATGATCCACCCGAACTAACTTGATGTCATCGGCCACATAAGATAAACTACTTAACTAAACCCTCCAATCAATCATTCATTCCAGCAAGATAATACCGCCTTTACTACACATAGAATCTCTCTTTCCATATATTGATTTTTATTCTAGGACATCTCCTTTCTCTACCTAATAATATACTATATACTCATAGTATCATCACAATGAAAACCATCGACGACACCGCCCGCGAAACCGCCCAAGAAATGGGCTACAAAGAGCCCGCGTCCACGACCGACAGCTCGAACGGGAACTCGATGATGACTCCCCAGAACTCACTTAATGATATGGCGCAATCGGGTGTCAAGGAGATGAAGAATATGTTTGATGGCGTGGCGTCGGCGCCGGCGCCGGGGGATTTCTTGAATAGTACGTGGGAGCATGTAAGGTCGTTGATGGGTGGGGGTGGTGGTGATGGGGAGGATAATGGGAATGGGGAGGGTATGTGATAAACATTCTATTTCATTTTTATGTGTGTTTGGTTTGCTGTTATGCTGATTGAATATCTTGGCTGGGTGTAGATGGTGTCGTTGAGCCGGCAGATGCGGATGAGATTCGGTGTATTGAGAATTTGGAGAGGGAGAAGATTATTCAGTTTTTGCAGGAGAGGCATATGAGTATGAATAATACGGGGAGGGGGAAGAAGGTATAACTGGGGAGTGCTAGATCCAGGCCGGATGGATAAAATAATATATGATATTGGGACATTCATGCATACGTGAAGCTTGCTTCTGATCAAAGTGAACTCTGTAGCTGTCAAAGCAGTAGCCTTACGCTCACAAACAAGCTTTAAGCCCCTTGTCCGACTTCATATCCAGTCCCAAGAATTCCGCAACCTGTCCTAGATGATCCACTCCCCAGAATGTGTCAGTTTCACCCTTGTCATTGGTGCACTCAAACCAGGGGATGCCAAATGCGCCTGATTTGAACGCTCGATCCGTGTTCGCTATCAAGGCTGCCTTGATGTCTCCATGCTCCATCTAACAACCGAGTTAGCAAACACACTCAACATAAGTTTATGCAATACAGGTCGCATACATCGGTCAACACCGACTGTGCCACGTCCTTTCCAAGTACCCCTTCAAGAACCGGGCCGAAGCATTCAGGCTGCGCAATGTTCGCATTACCCTCTACCCAGAACAAGTGATAGAGCGCCTCGAAGGCTGGCACAAGCTTGTCCGGGTGCTTCTGGGAAATCGCACAGAGCGCACGCTGGGTGCTCAGCGTCCGTGGCGGGAAGCCTTCGGGAACTGTCTGGACAATTGGGACGTTGAAATAGCGAGACCAGCGGTAACGCTCTTTTTCACTCCATTTATCCTTATCTAATTACATTGCTTAGAAGTTGTTATGGACATGCTTCAGTTGTTGAAGGGATACGCACTCTTGATCTTCATAGGAGCAGTATTCCCGCATGCTTGCATGATACCACCCAGGAAAATAGGAATATACGTGATGTTGCATTTGGCAAAAACGGGAGAGTTCTTCTAGACGTTAGCATATTGCGGTGATGATTTGAGCTATAGTAAGTAGATGGATATGCGCACCTTTAGAATACTGAAGGCGATATAGCCGAATGGACTGACTACGTCCAAGTAGACGTTTATACGCGGCACAGCCATGCTTTCGTAACTGATAAAGATGATGAAAGAAAGCTAAATGTGATGTGATCCAAAACCAAAGATGAAGGTATCACGCAGAGTGTCTAGATTGTCTAGTTAAGGCCGTAGACCCCCTGTTCTGGATGAGTCAGCATCGCGAGCCGAGGTGTTCGGATGTTCATCTGATGATTTCTAATCCCTGATTCCCCTCACTCTACTAAGTATACCCGGTTGGAGAAGATCAATGATGCACTTTTGTATATGCTTGAAGCTGGGACACTGATGCCATACCTTGCTCAGATATGGCCATACGTGCCTTCCCTGACAGCTCTCCTCCTGGAGGGCAGTCGCGATGCGGCCACCTGTAGTTAGGATGTTTCGGCAGATCATCCAGCTCGTAGCATTGACTCTCTGTATCTGGCTACATAGTGCTTGCTTGCATACTTACAAGATAGATGGCTATGTACAACATGCTTAGCGTCGACTCCCTTCTCAGCAGGGATCAACTCAAAGATGAAGGAAGCGCCTTTCTAGTACCCTTCTCAAATCATGACATTTCGGAAGAATCCGCCTATGAGTTTGATGCGCCTGATGCAGAGTATATCCATGACTCAGTGACTGAAAAGCGCCGCCATGCCGTATACTATCACCGGCCTCCCGTCTGGTGTCCTTCACGGCAGTCAAGAACATCGAGTTTCTCTGGAAGCACCAGCAGCTGGGGTACAAAGGAAACGTGCAGTGATCAAGCAGCTGATGATAGTGAGATGCCGGATGCACATTCCTGCATCGCTGATGGCTGTGACGCTACCGCTGCATTGGCAGATGGGGTATCTGGCACAGAAACCAACCAGTCGCAGTCTGATCAGGAGACCATTATCCTTGTGAGTGTCTGGTAGCCACCGAATAAACCGTGAGTGAATAGACTAACTGTATCAAGCATGACTGGCCCGCTCGTGACAGGCCACAGACATGGCAACAATTGGGTACCGTGAGGAAATACACTCTGTCAGATTGGCGAGCCTCCGTAAAACCTTATCCGAGCCGGGTGCTATTGCAGAGCTCCGTCTGTCACAAAGGGAAAGGCAGTCCTGCACGATTGCAAGCATACAAGGACATACGTCTAGGGTTGGATGAGGAGCAGTCCATCCACGAAGGATCCCTTGTGATTTGTGTTGATCCTGCATACACCTTGTCCGATCATGATAAACCACGCTCTGATGAGTTCGATCTGGTTAGCGGGCATATATTTGTTGTCTGCCGACTGTATTCCGATTTATGGGCTCTCTGTGCCAGTGCTTCGCCGCCTCAGCCGGAGAAGGTCTCCGGTGAGTCAATATCAACTGAGCCTATGCGACTAGCATTCTTGCCACTGTGTGCAGTGACGCTAGCCGCAAATTTTAGCGCATTCAATCAGAGATGCATCAATTATGCTCATGATAAGTCAGACGAGCCTAGGTATCCTGGAAATGGGCTCCCGGTTATGCCTCCTCCACGGACTTCTAGCCTCAGCGATGGCAAGCAGATCTCCCGCGGAAACAGACGCCACATCGCCTTTCCAGAGGTGGTCTACGATACTTTCAACCGCGTCCCTTTCGAACGTCGCGATTCAGATTTTGTCCCAGCAGACTCTTCTCTGGAGAATGTGCTTTCTAACCTGACCGACCGAGGAAGTCGTCGACTCCAGCGTTTAGGCAACCGTATGTCAATCCGGAAGCTCTGGAGCGAATCTAAAAGGCCTGCTCTGGGAAACACTGAGAATCAATTGTCCTCTTCATCTGGTTACCTTGGGGGACCGACAGAGTTGGGTGCATTACAGCATCATTCAGGCCTGCAGCGGCGCGGTTCTTTGAGAAGCCAGAGGCTGAGGAGTTTCATCCGGGATGCCCGATAATAGGAGACAAGATCCTTCGTTGATTTGTCTGAGTCATGCTTTATCAGCGCCTATTTGATCGCCCATCGCCCTTCCTGTCAAGGTAAAAAAATGTAGTAGTAACTCGAAAATAATGTTGTTACTCCGTATTGGCCGATTAGATGCGGGGATTCCTGCAATATAAGCTAGGCGCTTTCCTGTTGCATACCGGTAGTAGTTGAAATCGAGAGCTAGTGCTCTGATCATCCTTGATCATGTGTGTTATTCTGTTGGGCTCGAGCCTTCTTGCAATGATTGCTCACTTCAGTAGCGTAACTGAAGTAGCGAAAGAATATATAAACGCAACAAGAAGCTTCTGGTGTTCATCAACCCGAGACACCCATTATCCCCAACTATACCATCCATCCGAGCGAACCTCTACACCACCTTCGCCCTCACCACTCTTCTCATCCGTATTCTCGGCACCCTCATCTACTACCTCCCCCGCTTCACGCGGCCCCATGAAGCATGGACCTACCGCCAAGTCATCGGGGTAAGGCTCTACTCCCTAGGGTTGAACTTCCTAACAGCAATTGAATACCGCGCCCCCAAAATCCTTACCCCAGGCCGTGAAGGCAACCGCTTCATAATCATCAGCCCACCAGACACCGCCATGTCCAACCAACTAGCACTCCATTACTCCCGCAGCAGCATCCTCACCAGCGTCCCATCCATCCGTCCCGTCCCTATCGGCGCAGTATGGCACCCTGCCCTCCCCTCTTCCAAACCAGCTCGAGTAGTCCTTCACTTCCACGGCGGCGCGTACGTCGTCGGCGGTGTCCGCCTCAACATAAAGGGCGGGAGCCCTAGTATACCCAGCGATGTGATGAAATCTCACGTCATGCTGCCGCAGTATCGCCTCTCCATGGAAGAAAATGCCTCGTTTCCTGCTGCCCTGAAAGATGGGATCACGGCTTACGTGTACTTTCTCGAGAATCTGGGTTTAGAGCCTCAGAATATAATCCTGTCCGGTGATTTGGCGGGCGGGAATCTTGTCCTCTCCATGATTAGATATTTGGTCGAGGAGAAGGAAGAAGGGACGGAGGCATGACCATTGCCTGCGGCTGCGTTGTTATGGGGTCCGTGGTTGGATTTAACAGAGAATGGGGCGCGGAGGGTTGATCAGCATCCGCGCCGATGGGGTTATAATCTTTTTGGGATTTGCTGGAGTGGGGTATATCAGGCGGGTAACGCCTATGGGTTGGAAGAGGGGACATCGTTTTCTGAGTCCCCTTGGGAATGGGTTTAGGACTTTGGAAATGCCGGATTTCCTGCAGGCGGGTACGGAGTAGGTTTTCTATATGAAGATCAGGTGGCGTTTGTGGAGGAGATGAGGGCGTTGCGGAATGATATTGAGTTTTGTGAGGTGAATGATGCACCGCATGATATTTTTATGGCAGGGAATGTGGTGAGATTCGAGAAGGAGGCGGAGGAGGCAATGGAGAGGGCCAGGACGTATGTGGACATGAGAGTGGGCTGGTTTGGTTGTTTCGATGCTGTAGAGATGGTATGTACATGAATTTGTGCTTTGGGTTATTTCCCGGGCTGAAACTGGCTATTGGATGCCGCCGAACGGTGATCTATGGGTATCTCGGGTTGGTCCATACTCATATGTTCACGGATCCTTGGCTATGATTGCTGCGGCCAGCTTCCGGAGATATAACTCCAAAATAGCCTGAGAGCCTGGGCTGTGAACTTTCAAAACCTCTGCATGTGGAGAGCTAGATCCCACTTAATGTGGTATTGCTAGGCCTTCAAGGGACAGGTGTAAGAACTGCAACCCTACCCGACCAACCATGGTACCTTAGCCCTCTGCACCAGAGCAGTACAGTCGAAGAGAAAAGATTCCGAGAAGTTGGAGGTTGGGAAAGAACATGATGAACCAAGCTGCGCTTAGTTAGCGCTGCCAGGCCCGGAAGGAGCCATGCAGCTGTGGTCTGTTTCCATTGCAACAAATGCTAACCTTGACTTTGGGGGAATGGTGCCGCCACTGGCTGGTCAAAACCTATGTAGTTCTCGCTCAACATCAAGCTACCCAATCTGTCCAGCTATTATATTGATGAAACATTCCTGTCTCTGCCGTAACAACGCAATTCAATCTCGTCAAATTGACCATGTTGCGATGGGAGTTGCCTCCGATCTAGGTGCAAATTGTGGAGCCCAGCAGACTGCATCAGTTCGAAGAAGATAGACTCGCTTTCATGACGTCTCTTCAATGCCACCAAAATGACAACCTCAGGCGACATTTGCACTAACCGGCTTAGTACTGAAACCAGCGCGGGCAAGCTGTCTGCATTATAGGTACAGTCCGACACTAGAACAAGATCTATCGAGCCACCGCACAAGTCACTCGGGAGTTCCTCATCCCAGTCAAGGGTGCGGAACTCGAGCTCAGAGGAATCGGCCGGTTTCGCAACAGCTATGTTCTGTGTCACAATTTCCTCCACCTCGGGCAGATCAGTAAGTACTACAGAACACTGAGGGAGAAGCTCTGCAAGAGCAATCCCTACAACGCCACACCCTGATCCTAGTTCGAGAACATGGAGAGGAGAGTTGCGTTCGCCGCGAAGAAGACCCTGCAACAATGGCACAGAGACTGCAGGGTCTCCAGTCACTATCTGCTGAAGGTATACGACCGAAGCCACCGCCGCATCCCTAAGAATATGTAAGCCACGTACAAGGAAGAATATAGCCTCATTTGAAATGAGGATGCCTCACCAGATATGCCGAGCTATGCTGTTCCCAGTCTCTTCCCAAATCCTCAAGCCTAGGCGATCCTTAGGTCCAAAGCGTCTCTCAACAAGCTTCTCTGCTACCGAGGACGGCGACCCACCAAAAGGTGCGCTCCAGGCTGACATGACTAAAGGAAGACTGGAATTGCCCAGCAAGCGATCTGGTGAGGGAGACCGCTTCTGCGGACTTGTGGCCGTCACGCCTAGAACGATTGTCTGCCGAGAAATATTGGCAGAAAAGGGCCCGAGCATTATTGGAAGCTCGCGCCTTCCAGCCTTCCAGCTCAATGGTTCCTGATACAGAATTTTACCAGAGTCATTGAGACTCAGTGTTACAAGCAAATTCACATCTTGTGCAAGAAAATCGTCTCCCAGGTCTGTAGTGATGCAAATTAGAGCGGAGACGGATATAGACCCGGGTTTCTGTTTCTGAAACCTCGGGGTCTTGAGGAAACGAATATAGTAAACCATGCTAAAGATGAGCAATTACTAGGCGATAACCCGGCGCCAGAAGTGAGCTTAGTATACTAGACCATGCGATTGGCAGAAGAAGCAGTGTATGGACAGTACTTGGAAACAGCTAATTCTGGCACGGGGCACGTGCGGGCTGACTAAGGGCGGGCCGATGACATCGACCATCCAAGAGGAATGTTGCTTCCTGAGGCTCCCTCTCGGGGAATCTCCCCTCGTTATTATCTCCACCTCTCCAATGCTGCTGTTATCGTATACCGACTCCCTTTTCTGCAGGAATATATCTCCCGATTCACTCCGAAGTCCCCATTTAAAGCACAGATATCCCATGGGGATACTTGATTTCACTCTAAAGTGAACCCATCGCTCCTGCGGCCGCGGCGTGGCTCTGGGCCAACGTCGCATCCCTACCGTCAGCCGGCATGATGCGATCGAGAGACCCTCGGGTCCGCCAGACAATCAACCAAATCCATCATAACCTCGAGTCTGCAAACGAGAGCGCTCAGGAGGGCTTATATACTTTTTCCCATAATTACGTGGTACCATGTTTTGCAGCGATTGGGAGCTGTATCTACTCATGCACTGCGCCTTGTCTCCCTAGCCGCGAAGACCAGCTTCGACGCCGCCGACGCGGCCGCGCAGAGGCTAATTTCGACTTCTACGATGACTGGGATAATGAGGATCCAAACGATGGTCTGCTAGGATGGGGTACTGACGAACTGGATCGTTTACTGGCTGGAAGCGGCTTGGCTCGGGGGAGTTCAGAACAGCCTCGAAGGCAGCGGAAAATGAGCTATGGTGCTCGGCGCACAAGGCGAAAGAGCACTGCTATAATGTCTGACGACCGTAATGACCCGACTGTTATCCCGAGTTCCTCCTTCCTGGGGTTTCTAGAGCGCTTTCCATGGAGATTTGGCGCCCGAGGGCTGAAATATCGGCCGTCAGCGGCAGATCTTCAAGAACATCCCGTGGGTTTGCGACGGCATGAACTTGAAGATGAGCCTCTCATAGAAGAAACCGAGGAAAGCGAGGGTCCAGCCACCTCAAGATTGAATGGGAGATATCGGAGTTCAACACAATCATCGCGTGACACGGCCAATTCCTTGAGCTCGCGGGGTGACCTGATTCCCAGCGACGAGGAAGAAGACGCAGTGCCACTAGATGATGAGTTCGCTCTAGCTCTGGCCAGTCGTCGCGGTACTGGACTCGATTCAATTGATCTAATAGGAGATAAGCCTGCAAGTATGAGGTCGGTGTCTGGGACGTTTAGTTTAAGAACAACCGCCTCTTCCAAGGAGGAGAGAAAGAAAAAGAAAAAGAGGAGCAGCCGTCTGCGGTCTCCGGAGGGGTCGTATGTAGAGGTCACTCGCCAAGCCAGCACCCCTACGTTAGCCGATCTTAAAAAAGAAGAAGAGCAAGCAGCGCGTGAAGAAGAATCAGAAATTGAGCGAAGACGGCTTGCTGCGCAGCAGCTGGCTTCAACACGAGGCCTAAACCAAGCAAAAGACGAGGTAGGTAGCTCATATAATAATCGGTTTCATGCCAGAGTTATAGAAGATGGGCTAACAAAACAATCATGTAGGCTTCGCAAAATTCACCATCTCCACAACCTCACACATCTTCGTCGGACGCCGCCCATCACGAGTCCGCTAATAATCATTTAGACTCAACTGTAGAACACACACTTCCTCATAGTCAGGATGCACAAATTCAGCACTCGCTGAATCCGGGCTCCCCCGGAAACGACTCACAAACCGAACCATTTCCCCCATTTCCATCTACACCGGAATTTCGCGATGCTAGTCCTGCATCGCCCCCGGGTCATTTCCACGACCAAAGCAATGCCTCGAATCTATCTGATCAGGAAGATACAGCAGATGCTTCGAGGGATGATGCCTCTATTGATTGAATAAAGGGCGCCCGGTTGCTATGCGTGGAGGAAGCACGGCTAATCGCTAATCCAGGTTTGCAGGCCAAACCTAACCATCTAAATTCCTATTTCCTTCAGCGATCTCCTTCATATATGAGGACGCAGCCGTCTTATGCTTCTTATGGCAACCTCTGAACTGTACATTAACATGATGATTCACGAAACTCGAATATATCCCGTATCTGGAAGATGTGACAATTCTTGCGTCTTCGTCTCACAACCACACTAGTAAACTCTTCCCCCGGTACTTCCCTTTAGCTATGCCACCTAACAGCACAGCATCAATTATATCCGATACCACCCCCACCCAGAGCATCCGCACCTCCCTGCGCCAAAGCAGTATACTCCAATCGCGCCGACAACCCACCCTGATTCTCATCTGTTCTTGGCATCTCCCCAAGGGAAGGAATACTCTCATACAGCCACGGCGGATTTGCCAGAGACAAAATCTCCTGATCAAAGATCGCCCAAGAATAATCCTCTTCCGGAGCGAGGAACGCAAAATCGGGTCCCATTTCAGGCGGTGTATGCATGCTCTGTAGGCCCGACTCGAGTCGATCAGCCAGTATGCTATGGATGCTTGGCACAGATGAATGGTTCCTCTTCAGACTGTCGATGTGCTTTTCAATTAGCTGAAGGTCTGTACAGATGTAGGTCAGCAATGGATGTGGTTCACCATGCGATGAGTCAAGTATCACTCTTACCGTCTTGGTGTAGTACGCCGTCTTCGATCCCTCGGAGTAGTAGCATGGCTGCGAATGTTACCATCTAAGGAAGTCAGCTATGGTGGGTATTAGAGTATGGTGGTTTAGTAGAAGACTTACTATCAGATCCCAGTTGGACCATATACTAGCGTCGTCTAGACGAAGCCGCAGAACTGCCCGCGCTGAGACTAGTAATTCGTGTCTTTCGGCTGGT